AAAATATTGATAGATTAATAAATATGATTTCTTAGAAAAATGTTTAAAAACATATTTTTATATTTCTTATTAATTCCTGTTCTTTATTCTTCTTTTGTTTAGAATTATATAATTACTCATACCTTTTACGACTCATATTGCATAACACATGTTAATCAATATACGTACCACTGTGCAAATAATTGCTTAACAACGCAAAATATACAGATTGTTAAATATACAAAAAAATAAAGATTAGATTAAGGTTATTATCTTATAGCATATATTATATACAGCTTTGACCAAAAATATTAGGCACCTTGTTAATCATTATTTAAAATTTTAGTTTAAAATAATGCAGTTAAGGGATATTACGAGTTAGCATAGAAAATATTATGCACAAAGTACATAATAAAATATAATACTTCAATACTTAACCGACATCAATTTAATCACAAATTATTTCTGAAATGCCCTTAAGGGAATCCTAAAGATGATTAGTCATACACTGAGAAAAATGTCTCACTTTGTCATAAAATATATTCTGGCAAAATTATTTAAAATTATTTAATTATTTAATTTTTTCTTTTTTTAGTTTAAAAATAGATCTATGGAATTTGTTATAAATTATTCTTTGCCCGAGAACTCTTTTATGTATAATGCGGCTAACCAATAGGTAATAATATAGGTAAAAGAATTCCAAATAAATGAAAAAATATAGATGTCTAATATTTTCGGCTATAAGACTGTATATCACGAAGAGTATTCATGAAGTTCATAATAGCTACTATATATGATAATTTGTTATCTAATTCTTTGCTGGAAATGTACGAAGCAAAAATAGCCACGGTATTAAATATCGAGCGCGTTATAATGTAATTGCTAAGTATTTTAATTAATTTAATTATGGAAGGTAATTACATATCGTTATGAATTTATTTTCGCTGCGGGCTGTATCCATAAATAACGCATTTTCAGAAAGAGTTGATATTTCGGGTTTCTGCGTATATTTTATTTACGTAAAATGTTCTACATATACACAAAATGTAATTGCAGACTTAATATAATCAGCGATCGGAAAAATATTTATATATAAATTCTGCGTAATAATACTGTGATGGGCATGTGCAGCGTATAAAATATTGCAAAATATTTTTTTATTTTAATAACGTGGTATTAACTTACATTTTGTAAATGTGTTAATCGGTTTAACATATTTTGTGATACATTCTCATAAAATGATGATCATCATGTTTATAGAATTCGAAAATACTTCAGAAAAATACTTAGTATACTGATGTGAAAATAGTATACATTTTATCTAATTAATACAGTTCATGCTTTTGATGCTTCTAGAAGCTATGCTATATAGAAGCTTTCGCGGATTTCTCCTATTTAGATCCATTATTAGAATAGTATTCTAATAATGGATCTAGACAGACAATAACTCGCGAAACGCCTAATTCTGTATATGATATAGCTTATGTCATAATTTTATTTTGTGAGTAATCGTAGTACACGCCAAGTGTTAAATAAAAAATGTTTGTCACATCAGAAATACATATTCATTGCGAGATTTAACATAAAAATCAAAATGTGACCAATTTTTTGTCATGCAATCTTCATTACAGCGTACATAAGAAAGAAATTGGATTTATTACGCTTGCAATTAAAATCTTATACGTATAGTCGTTTCACTCGCGATAATAGCCATTCCAGATTGCTACTGGTTAACGATCGTTTCTTTCGATTTCGATTTTCGCGTTAATGACGGAGGTCATCGGTTGCGAGAGAGAGAATTGCGACGATGCGGCGCGGTGTGGTTGATCGGGGCGGTCCAAACGGGGCCAAAGGTAGATCGGGACACACTCGCATGGTCGGTCTATACATTCGTTCATTTGTTCGTTCGTTCGTCGTTCGCGCAAACATACGTACGTACGTACGTACACGTATATTCGGGGCGATATCTCGGACGAGGCAAAATATTTACGAGAAAATTTCGCCGTGGGTGGCGCGGCTTCATGAATAATTTCGGTCCGCAGGAGACTCGTCAGCCGCGGGCTATGTGCTCGGGGCGCACGGTTCTAATTACGGCAACTGCAGAGCGCGCGTCTGCGCCCCCGGCCATCCCTCCAGCCGGTTTCCAACCTCCCTTTTCCTATCCCAGCACAATTTCCACAGAGCCCACATCCGTTCTGAAATGCCAGCAATCCTCCTCCCCCTGCGGCCCTTTGCCTCTCTCTCTCTCTCTCTCTCTCTCTCTCTTTTTCCCCCCGTCTCTCTCTCTCTCTCTCTCTCTCTCTCTCTCTCTCTCTCTCTCTCTCTCTCTCTCTCGTTCTACGGTTCTCTCTTTATCCATCGTGTTACGCGTACTCCTTCCCTCGCCCCCTCTCTTTTATAGCTCGAGGTGCACATCGACTATTACGTTGCAACCAATTTTTGAAAAGTTGCAATATATATATATACACATGTATATATATATATGTGTGTGTGTGTGTGTGTGTGTGTGTGTATGTGTCCAATATTATTTTTTCTACGCCTATACATTCGCGCGCTTATGGAGAAGCAAACAAAGTTTGCCACGTTAGAATTGCTGAGTTCATGATTTACGTGTGTGATGTATAAAATTGGCGAGCGTTTATTAATGTTACACATATGTGAATTTTATAATAGTTCAATTAAAATTTCCCTTTTTGTTACCACATGGGAGTAATATCATACGTAATTAAATTACGGTTGTATGGAATCAATCATGTTTTTTTACGATTATCGTTTGTATTATGCTTTGATTTAATGTGCGAAATTGCTTATCTTAATCTACAACCATACTTGAGTTCGTTAAGTGGTACTAAGTTCCATCGTAAATTAAGTATTAAATTGATGTACAATAGTCACGCCGATATTCTTAAAGGATATTTGTGAAGGGTGAAATTCAGAAGAAGCGTATACAATCAAAAATTATTATCATGTTCTCCAATGTCAACTATTCAATTATAAAACTACAAATTCACTTCAATTCATTTTTAATTAATTATGATTGATCGTACAATTATATATCGTGATAAAATCAAATTTTTTAATTTTATTTATATTATATTTATACTCTGGTCTTTTTGCTGCACGTCTCGCGCAGAATTATGTAGTCAATTACTTTAAGTATTTAAGTTTCAATTAATATTTTTTCCTCGAATATTTCATGGCTCATTGTGTCAAGACGAGAAGCGTACTGATTCGTCAGTTACGTAGTCTCGCACAAGCGCACTGAAGAATTAAATGTAATTTAGATTACAGACATAATTTGAATACGTAATTATAAAAAAATTTAAATTTTAGAATATAAGCTTTAAAATCTAAAAATGGTAAAGCTCCATTAAAGAATTTTTACATAATTAATTTTTTTTATCGTCATTTATACGAAGTCTTTTTATTGTATGTTCATCTACGTTAATTTTGTGGCTATTGTGAAGTCACAATTTCTATCTAGGCTAAATGTAAACGGATAATTTGTTTCGATATGGAATAATGTAGCGACTTTTGTCTAACCATCTCTATTCAAAGCCTCTGTCTACCGCATGTGATTATTCGCGATGTGAAGTGTATAATTGATTGTAACTGTTGCTCGATGATGGCGGAATGCGATGAATGATTGAGCAATTGCATTGTCCCGTCGTGTTTCTATATATTCGTTTCTGGAGGCAGCGACACCCTCTCGAACGTCTGGCACAGATTAAACTTTCTTTACCCGCGGTGTCGTGAGATCAGATTGACTTTCTACTGACTTCACTCTGCAGCTCAATCATATAAAATGCTCCACGGACGCGTGCAATTATTCGGTATCCAGAGATTTATAGTATTCTTTCCCGAAGAGAAATTAGCGCGATAAACAGTTAAAAGCTGACACAAGGACGTTGAAAAGATTAAAGTTCTTAAGCCTCAGTTTCCCAGAGGAGGAAAAACTTCTGGTAGAAACATAAAGAAGATGCGCAACTTGCAACGTACAACTTCAAAATATTGATAAATGCATAGAATAGATGAAAACGAACATGGCAGAGCGACTGTATCTCTATGTGCAAAATTATTGTGCGAGACCACTTGATTCCCAATTCGAAATGTCCGTCTGTTACTATTATTAAAATCATCTGTAGCTTTCGTTAGATAGAACTTTCCGTAGCGAAAACGCTCTTGGCCGCGCCTCGCGGGTTACAAGCGACATAATTAACTACGTGAAAGTACACCATTTCCATACATGAATATCAGTTTGTCACGCGACGTTTCGAAGGTATCCTGTACGAGAGAACAAGCGAGAGAAATAGATTTTTCTAGACACTTTCCGTACCGGCGATATTATGATAACACATGCAGTTTCTTTACCCGGAAGACTGCGATCAGTAAAACAACAGCGAAAGATACAAACAGTGTGCCGTAAAAATTTTTTGGAGTGTTGAAATATGAGTCTGTATATAATAAGTGAATGTTCTCTCAAAGATCCGAGACTTCGCGCAATGTAAATACTCCAATAATTGAGACAAATTCACATATGACGACAATTATATGCATATTCCTGGAGCAGATACTTGACGACGAAAGAGAGCAAAACGATTCGAGTGTACGAGTTATATGTCCTTGTCAGGATAATAATCCCCAGGTTTATAATTATCACATCTAAGGTTTATATCAGAAAGCAATCATAACTCTGGCCGATGCAATCATCGGCATTTTAATTACGTTATTACGTTAACCGCGTGATCAATCTGTTCTTCAACGTTTCCTCATACGCAATGTTGCAGAGAGAGATTTATCGACAATTTATCAGTTGACAGTTTTTTTGAAGACATTTTACAGTTTAACAGTCCGAAATCATTAGATTCCGTCTAATGAATTTTCACAAGCTTTACACGATGCAGGCTCGTTTTATGTCGCATTCACACGTATATTTATAAAAATCTCATGGTGTATAGCTCGAAACTCCGCATTCCACGTACGGATTTCACGATCGAATCGAATAATCATGACTCACTCACCGTTTCTGGCACGTGGACTCCAGGTTGACGGTTATTCTCGTGTCCACGGCTGCGAATTTGAGAACCCTGGAGCCCCGTCGCGCTCGCGGAAATTTCTCACTGTTTCTATGAGGCACCCGGGTCGGAATTCTCAATATCTCTAGCTCTCGTGTCACGCACTATGGACCACGTGGTTGCATTCACGTGTCTTCTCGGCCGAGGGACAAAAGTGGCGCGGAGCCACCACCGCGCACCACCGCGGCTTTCGTTAGACTGCGTACATTCTCCGCTGTTGCGATCCTCCTCGCGCCGATTTCCTCGCGCTACCACCACCATTCTCCACTACCACCACCACCATTACCGGCACAGACATCGCCCGCCGGTCCGCCACCAGCGACCATCGTCATCCATCGTCGTCCGTCGTCCTCGTCCTTCCCGCCAACCCACATCGACTCGTCTTTGTCCCACGAGCTCGCGGCGTTTTCGGCAAACGCCTCGAGCTTGTGACGATTCTCTCTATTCGAATCGCACTGCCGTACGCGCGCCAGTTTCAACCCCTTCCGATCGTGTATTTTGGCCGTTTGTGTAAGATATAGCGATTGTACCTGATACGCTTTCTATACATAGATCATTTCTGTATGTTTCCTCCTCTCACTGTATACTGTAAAAAAGAATTTACTCAATTTTATTGAATATTTGTTCGAACAGTACTAACGAAATATTTGTTTACAGTAAATAAATATTTATTTAAAATAAAAAATTATACTTTAAATAAATATATATTTACATTTTGTAAATATTTTGTTGATACTATTTAAATAAATATTTAATAAAATCCAGTCAATTTTGTTTTTCAGTGTGGGTAGAAATTTTATCGATACTTTATATTGATTTTTAAATTTATTTTACATGATCCATAATTAATCTTGCAACAGATTTGTATGTATAATGTTAGTAATTATTATTTTATTGTTGGATAGTTATCGAATAGTTATAAATTACGCGATTATTTTTAGTTATTTACTAATTTTGTATTAATACATATAGGATAAATTGTTATATTGTATATAAGTAATATACCGGATGGATCCGCAAGATTTTCAAAATGAAATAACAATGTGAGATATAACTTGAATATTAATTTCTTATTATACATATGTTATGATATTAGTTACATAACAATAGGAAGTATAAACCGCCATTTGAATATATCTGAATATATTTGTGTGTAATGACTGCGCAAATATATTCAACAAATAAAACAGCTCAATGAACGCTTAGTGGTTCTTTATATTACAATATATATATATATTTTTTTTTTCTACATTTATATTATTAAATCCAATGAACTAAAGGCAAAAAGCAATCGTATTAAAAAATTATTGAACGTCCACATTGAGCTATAATTGTCTATCGAGTGTACAGTCATTACTCAAATTTATATAGATAAACTCAAATGATATTTGATTTTCTATTGTTATATAATAAGAAGTTATATTTTGTATTATTTTATTTTGAAAATCGTCAGGTTCCGTGGCTCACTTCGTATAATAATGAAAATACATAAATTCATAAGAAGTTAAAATTTTGGTCAAAGTCTACGTTTAAAGAAGCATGTGTTAAAAAAATAACGGTTTGCCTATGTATTGGATTTTTTTGTATTATAAAACCGTTGATATTTACGATTACATAAGGACTAGAACAAGAATAGATATATTTGATAAATCTCTTGACCACACGCTATGACCTTTGCAAATGACATCCACTCACATCGACTGTTGAAGTAATATTGCCACTCACATTGATCGTTAAAGTAATAAATTTTTCTTCGGATGATTGTAGAATTGTCCTCTCCATAACAGCAATATAGTATAATTCGATCTATTGAATACGAAAACGTAGTGTAAAGATAATACCGTGTAATTTATGAATAGAAATAATTGCGTTTGACAGAAAAGTTTTGAAAAATTTATTTCTCTATACTGGAAAATGAAAGTTACGGAACTTATTATGAGAAATGCTCCGAAAGTAGATCGAGTGACGATCTACCACTTACGTTGGAAAAATGATTTTTCAAGGTTATTTTATAATAAGAATCGTTTTTGAGAGGCAATTCGGCGCATCGACATTATCGTCGAATAACTGAAACATTTTCGACGCCGGCCAGGGATTTCGTCTTCGTAAAACTACAATCGGTACCTCGTCCATACGATTGGCCATCGGCCATCGAGAATAATGGAGCAGTTGGCGAGAGCCGATATAAGGGGAACCAAACGCGGCTCGGGCCTCGGTCTCTGTCGTATTCGAAGTGCCCCGCGGCCAAAACGGCCACGGCCGACAACATCGTTCCAGAATGCCTCGGGCACTTCCAAACCCACCGGACGATGTTACTCGCATACATAAACGCCAACTTCGTCAGGGACAAAGTGACGCTCGTATATATGTTGATCTGGCCAACGGGTCGCGACGGAGGAAGAGCGCCTTTGCCATTTCGAGACTCATTTTAACGTCCGCCTGGGTCGCGTTCGCGGCTGGTTCCTGTCGTTGGCCTTAGGCATATGCCTGTCGGCCAATTACGGAATGTTCCAAATCTTTTTCAACAACAGTATCCCACGCTTTTCGAAAGCGCGTAGCACAAACGCGGGTCTATCGTTTTTCTTTCTTTTGTGCGATGCAATTTCATATGATCGTGTATATGTGTGTGCATTAAACTATTATACATAGAAGGAAGAAAATTTATTAAACTGAATTAAATTTTAACAACAATTGTTTAATGAATTTTTAATTGAGTTTTCTTTGAGTGAAAATGTTAAAGTAAAAATGTCAAGTTTTCTCTCCGACGACGAGTTAAAAATGTTAAATAAAATTTATTTATCTGTATCTCAGTGATGGAAATGATTTTTTAGGCAAAATTTTGAATGAAATATCAAACAATGGAAATGTTTTTGATTTATTGATTTTACTAAATACTCGATTGGAAAAAGAATGTGTACAACTGATGCACCAGTAAGATCTTTATATTATGATTGATAACATTACGTTTCACGCCTGAGTGTGAGAAGACAGATGCTCAATTCACAAAGTAAGCACTGCCTAAACATGATGGATAGATAGATAGATCGATCTTCTGGAGTAATATATTCCGAAATGAATTTTAACGTGACAGGGTAAAGCAATCATTCATAACGTTGCGTTTAACTTTCGTTCTTTGCCTTAGCTTGTATCCAATTAGTTTGTGTCATTAGTTCATTTCTAATTAATTTCTACAGCATTTCGTATTTTTCGCCAGTATTATGTTTCGTGTGGAGCAAAGTTTTATTGTAACGCGATAATGCCTTTTATATTATACTACGGCGAGTTAATTCCCGAAAATAGAAATTGGAATCCAAAAACACGCGCGAGAGGGAAGCGAAATTCAAAGCGAACATTGCGTTGTAATTAATTAGCCGATCGTTTTCGTCTCGTTTAACGGATACGTAATTTGAGGCAAAAGATATCCTAACGGCGGGCGGGCGGCGGCGGGATGGGAAGTGAACAAGACGAAGGAAGGAAGGAAGGAAGGAGGTTGCGGAGGTGGACGAGAAGGAGAACGAGGGGGAGATATCGGGAGAAGAGAAGGAGGACGGGCATAATGGTGGTCACATGCCCGCGGGTGCCTCGCGGAGGAGATGAGTAAGAAGGAGGACTGCGCGCTCCGGTCCAGAGAGAGAGGAAAATAATGCGATGTTTTTGTATCATACGATATACAGACTCTCTGCCGGCATGGCGGACCGGTATATGCCCGGGGCGTTCAGCGGGATGTAACGAGAAGAGTCCGAGTATCGCCCGTGGGTCCACATATTTTAGGGTGAAGCCTCTCTCCTCCCTCCCTCTCCTCCACCGCTCCGCTCTTCTTCGCCCTCTGGTTTGAACCTCTACGTGTCTCTGAAACGGGTCGTGCTGCGCCGAAGGCGAGAGTTTCGCGCTCCTCCACCTATCCGTCCAGCTCTTATTCACTTCCCTCCCTCCTTTCTCCTCCTCCCCCCCCCTCCCCCCCCGCGACCTGACTTTGCTTTTCGTTGTCTTCCATATCTTTTATTCCACTGTATATACAGGCAACGGTTTTTACAAATTGCCGCGCAGTTGCAGTTGATTCCGCAACTGTATCTAAAGTGTATATCAAGAGAGAGATTCTCTCTATCACGGATTCTGTGACAAGCTTTATCAGATTTGTCTCACAATCTATAGAACGAAAGAAAGAGAGAAAAATCCGCTCTTCATGAGTGTTTCCAAGTTTCAATATTGAATATCGCGATGGGTTTTAACCGATTAAATTTTGATTAATTGAGGTAAACTTAATTGAGAAGTAAGATTGTTTCTCTTTATTTATTTACGATTTAACACTCGCGAGAGGAACGGTAATTTAAAAAAATGAGAAAAATCTCACAATTGATACAAGCGAGAGGGATTCTGCGATCGATATAAGTTTAAACTCCGCTTTTCGCTCGAATCAATTTCCGTAAACCTCTTACGCGTGACCCGCCAATCAGTTCAAGCTCCAAGTGGATTTCTCTCCGTCCCTTTTGTCCTCGCGGGCCATGCATCGTTCTGCATCCAGCGCCAAGTACATGCACACGACGCGACGACGGCCGTAGGTTGCGCTCTAAAGTGGGGGAGGTAGACCTGAGTGGTCTTTCTCTTCGATGGTTACGTGACCTCTGGTGGGTGTATGTTTAACCTTTTCGATGGCAGTCGGCAGAGAGGAGAGTTTAGCCGGCGGCCTCCCCTATTCTTCCCCGCCGCTCCGCCACGACCCTCCCCGAGTCGACGATCACCCACGCAAGCGAATGTAAATTACCGGAGGCTGTGAATCATTTTTAGAAGATCCCAGACGACCCCTGCGGTCTTTCTCTCCTCTTCGACATAGCTCACCTTTCATCTCTCCTTCCACCTCCGGCCGCGCGGCGCTCTCTTTCTCTATACCCTTTCTTTTCTTCCGCTATCCACCTTCTCTCGTTCATCCGCTCTTCCCGTTTCTCCGGCGGTCTCGTTCCACTTTCCTCTCCTTTTCTCCACTTCGGCCATCGCATTGTTCGTC